GGGGGGTGTGGTGGTGGTGGTGGGGGGGGGGGGGGGGGGGGGGGGGGGGGGAGGGGGGGTTGATACAGTTTTTACACCTTTGACATGTCTTTATGAAGTTGGTGTCTCGGATTTATTACGTTGGTGTACGTATGTGAGACAAAGTGCAAACGAAAAAAGAAAAAAAAATTCAAAATGGCTTCCCTGAAGTCAAAGGATTGTGTTTGTTTGTTTTCTTACCTACATAAATCTAAATCCCATTTGCACTCAAAAGAAGGGTGGGGCGGGGGGGGGGCATCGTTTGAATTGCCCTCGTCATCAGTTTCATGACACCGTCCTGTTAGTTGACTGTGAAGTTGCTCCGCCGGCCGACGGTCTCGTTTGTGTTCCACCCTTCAGACCATCAGACCTCTAATCTCTGTTGATTCTCACCCAGACTGTGACCGGATTCACGTCAAGTACCGGCCGTCGCCAGTGCGTATTCCACGCGTTTGATCACATGAGTCGCGCGTCACGCCCCACTGGAAGGTCCTGGAAGGTTCTAGATTTTAGTTAGAAATGTGATATCGGCTCATCAATAATATCGGATATAACTAATATTAGCATAATTATGTCAAATCCGTTAAAAAAATAATTTTCTTTTTTTTCGTCCGATAATGAAAACCCGATAACTAATATAAATGCGTGTGCTCTGAAAATAGTTTTGGAGAAAAACCAGCTGTATATGAAAGTGAAAGTCACTAGAGGGCAGCATTGTGACTCATTTAAATAATCTCATACTCATACAGTGGTTTGTACAGATATAAATAAAAAATATATTACCAGGTACTCAGTAGTATTTGAAGTCCGGTGGTGAGCGGGGCGTGAAAAAACTTCTGACCCCTAGGGGGAGGCATGACAGAAAATAACTAAGAAACACTGCTTTAACTTATCACCTTAGTGATAGGCGACACTTACCATCCTCAACCACTAGGCCACCCCTTCCCCGCTACATCGGTATCGGTTGATATTGGAATCGGAAATTATGTTTGGACAATATAAGATATTGGCAAAAAGTTATTATCGAACATCCCTCATTTTAATGTTAGCAATGCGCTCCGGGACGTCCCCACTAAACAGAGTCGTACGGTGACACAGTCAGACCCGTCCGTCCACAGGGGGGCAGTTGACCCCACCCTCAACATGTTCAGCCAATAATGGGGTCATTACCAGTGAGTGACTCTTCTGAAGGGCCCGTTGAGTCGACAGTAATGAGCTCTGTCGGACATAATCACTGTTTGGAGATGTGAGGGTAGGGACGGGGGGGAATAGGGGGAGGTTTGTGGGGAGAGGACGTGGCTCTGCT